CCCCTCTCAACACTAGGAATCACTAATTGGGTAGCGTTAGGGTTCAGATCACCAGTGGTCTTTAGGGCACATTATGAGGACCACTGCCCTACACTGAAATAACAGCAAATGTTATGACCATAGAAGGAAAGGAAGGGGCTGGAGGTAGAAGAAGAGAAAAAGAGAATAAAGAAACGGCTGAAGGGGGAAAGCATGAAAAGATACACAAAAATTTTAGATTAGAGACATTTTATTTATTCTTCTTCATATTTTAGTGTTTCCTTAGTTAATGGGCCAAATTATCTTTAAATTTGGAGAAGAAATGGATTACTTTATTCTCAGTACTTATATTAGTATTTCTAGCTATCAACTCAAGATACTGTGGTTGGATAATTAGTATTTTCTGGGTTGCTAGTTACTTTGGATTCTGTAGATCTGTCTCTGTTGCTACCTATGATCTATGCTGTCTTTTTAGGGGTAGAGGTGTGTGAGAAAGGTCTTTCTCTTTCTGTTGGCCATTATGGCAAGTCTCTAGAGCGCATGGACTATAACTAGTGTTGGGGACACCTTTTCTCCTCAGGGGACACCTCCTATTTCCTCTTCCTCTCCTCGCACTGGAGTGGATATCTAGGGCTCAATTTTGATCTCAGTAATGCAATTGTAAATCTGGAATAACTGTAGCAGAATCCGTATACTTGTTCTGAATAGATAGGGGTGTAATTGAGATCAGGCTCTAACTCCTAGGTCTATAGAAGCGAGAGACTGGAAAGAGCTATTAGGACCTCTTCCCCCTAGTGCAGGAGGATCCCCAATTGTATCCGTATTAATATTTTTCCTGTCTTAATTTCATTCCGCTACTCCTAATAATACCCTGTTGTACCAGCTTAAATGTTTTGTCTGTCTTCTTGGTGTGTAACCCTCTCCCTTGTTTGTAAATCTAAAGGATAGTCCACTGGTTAAGGCACTGGCCTACTTGGGAGACCTGAGTTTGAGTCCCTGCTCTACCACACTTCCTGTGTGACCTCAGGCAAGTCACTTAGTCTCAGTTCCCCATCTGTAAAAGTGGGGGGAAACGTGTTAAAGACTGTGAGGAACTCAGATATGGTAATGGGGGCTATATACGTACCTAAAATGGAAAGAATTATGCAGAGCATGTTGCAACTCAGCTCTGACTGTGAAGCTCTAAGCCCCCTGCATGCCCAGCACTGCAGAGGTTGACAGCAAATTCCTGAGAGAGGAATGAGAATGAAGAGACAGCAACTGGAGTAAATCCCTACGAGAGCAGCTGAGGCGCCAACAGTAAATTCACCGAAAGGAAGGGGGAGTAAAGAATGGGGAGAGAGAAACCCGAGTTGACCTTGACTTTGATTTTATAAAGACGAGAAGGAACAATGCCCCTAGAGCTAACCAGCAGTTAACACCTGCAGCCGGGAATGAGCCAGACAGGAGCAGAAAAGGCTAAAGCTGGCTAAGCTAGTGGGTCTGACAGCTCCTTAGTGCTAAGCATAGTGCTTTAATTAATCCCCTTTCTCTTTTAACCCACAACCAAAGAGCAAATATTGTATTTTCATTGATAAAGTATATAGGTAGAAACAATGTCGTGACTGCAGTATGCAAATTGTGTGTTGTTTTCAGCGATAGAACCATCCAATTTTGACCGTCTGCTACACATTTGGGGCTCCACTTTGCCTCTTGTGAAGCTGAGCCATGCTAAGGCTGGTTAGGAGTACAAGGCAGGTGCTCCACCCGAGTGGAGCGTACTGAAGACATTATGTCTTATATCATTTTAACCCTGGTGTTTAGGTACTTGAAACATATGTTGGTATTTTTCCAAGATGAATCTTAGGATGCTATTTATTGTCCCTGCTTCCACCCATTAGGCCTCTTTTGTAGCCTTTCTCTGTCCTGTTTATGGTTTCAGCTCCTCTGAATTTGATATCCTCTTGCGATTTCATTAATCTCTCTTCTAGGCCATTAATGAAGACGTTAAGATCTGTCCAATATAATTTCTGCAGTACCCCACTAAGCAACCCCCTGGACCTCAGTGCTTTGCAATTTGTCATTACTTATTGGTTTTGGGCCTGCTGTCTGTTTTTGGTCCACATGAGGTGTGTGTCTGTCCAAGCTGAGTTGAATTAATTTTGAGAGGAAGGCTGCATGAGACACTATCAAATACTGTCCCCAATTCAAACACAATAAACCACATATGGGGCTTATAAAGTAAAATCCCTGTGGATGTAACAGAATCAAAGATGAATAGGAGGGTATTAGATAAGGTGCTAAAGTCAGAAGGCAAAATGCATAAATAAGCATCTTTTATGCTCATACAGGGTCCAAACCAAAGCTGATGGAAATCAATTGGGGAGTCTTTCCATTGACTTCAGTGGGCTTTGGATCAGGTTCCTAGATTCCCTTATTATCCAATGCACCTTGTGTAGTCATCTATACCTTTGCAAGTCAGAATGGTGGCATTTTACACCCACTCCACACATGTTTAAATATCTACACCTGGTATATAGCAATGGAGAACCAGGTCTCCCTAAATTGCTATTGGAAGGAGACTAGACTGATGTAACGTAAATGCTGAGGTCCATTTAAAGAAGGTGATATTTAAAGAAAGGTAGTGATTACTTACTTGCTATACATTGTTTGGTAAGTGTTGTCCTGCTTTCTTGTTTATAATTAGAAATGGTTGGAAAACGGAATTTCTGTTCTGCAGGAAATTCTGAAGTAACATTTTTTGCAGTTCCAAATCAGAATGAAAAATCAAAATTTAAAAATGTTCCTGTCGAATAGAAATTTTGAAAATTTCAGTTAAGAAAAATTGAAGTGTTTTATTTTGATAAGGTAAAAATGTTTTGTTTTAATAATATCAAAGCACTATACTAGGATATGATGCTAAACATTAAATATAATATTAAATTATAACATGTTTTAATATAAAAGTCAAAATTAAATTAATCAAAATGATAAAGGTGAAAAAAAAATCCACATTATCTAAACCACCAATTTACTTGAAATTGACACATTCCCATGAACCGTTTCAGTTTAATCAAACCGCATTCTCCGATGGAAAGCTGTTTCACTGAAAATGTTTCAACTCGCTCTAGTTATCATGATACAGTATTTTGTTTTAAATCAGAATGACTAGTCTCATTTTCCTGCCATTTTTTTGTGCGCTCCATTGGTAGATTGAGTTGATCAGGAAATACAATTGTCCCTCAATGAGAAATGATGTTGGCAAGTCGGGGAAATGGGGATGAGAGAATAACAGTTGTCATCTTTGGAGGCAAAGAAGGTATATTGTCATATCCTCAGCAGACACATAATGACTTCAGTGGAGCTGTACTAGTTTACACCCACTGAGGATCTGGCCCTGACCCTTTATATGTATTTTTATTATTACTGCTTTTTAGGCTTATGTTCAGATTTTTCACTGTTCCCATGATTCCTGAAACACTGTTAGGTTCTGAACAATAACTAGTACTATTTTGTAAGCGTATGACTGTGTGGATTTACAGTAGTCCTTGTGTAGGTTGTTATCTGGATTTGTGCAGTACGGATATAGCGAGCAGCAGTTATTTGCTTCCATAAGCTTAATGAAGTGTACAGTACATTTGCATTTCCAGGTGTTTAACTAATCCTGAGAGACAACAGGCCAAATTCAGCCAAATGCAACCTGGAGTAAGCAGGTGCTGCATCCATGGAAATCATTGGGTCATATTCTTTTGTGACGTATACATTAGTTTCAGTTACACATCAGGTGTAAGTTGATCATAAATCTGACATACGGGGCCGTGTAAATGCCATAATAGTGCATCTTGCACTGATTTACTATTCAGTGATTCTGCAAAATGAATATAAACAATACGCTGAGAAAGCACGAGAGGGCTTGTTGCAGAAAAGCAACCAGGAGAAGGGTGTAAGATAAAGCGTACCACACCTACTTTAATTTATATTCAGCTCATTCACAATGTCCCTAGGCCAAATTCAGGCATGAGTTCAATGAGAGTTCTGCCATTTATGTGAGGGTTGAATATATTTAGCCAGAATATTGAACTGGTTTAAGTTGCAGAGTTTTTATTTATAGAACCATTGAATACCAAATTCTTGCAAGTTACAGTGTGGGGCCACTTACATCAGTTTTCCTACTCAATTTAATGTGAAACTTACACCTCCAAGTGACCCTCTAGCTTTAACTGTGTTTGCATCTGATTCCAAGCTTTTGAAAATTAGACTAAGCCTGCAAAGCTTTTATCCAGATCACCTCCCAGTCACACAGTATTCACTAGCAGCTGGCTAGATTCAGCAGGAACTTCTTCCTTATATCCATGAATTAACCTAGTTGAATTGTAACCATCCTGTGCATAGATTGCTAGTGGGGCCATTGACTTCACTGGCTCTCTATACAGGCAAAAGGGTCTATGCAGCCATACTTGTGTGGATCAGATTCCAGGATCAGGGCCTGAGTCAGTTTTACAAATACCTGTAATAAATATGACTAGCATTGTTCAAAGGTAAATAATTTGGCTGATTTAGGTTTGGATGTTTTAAAAATCTTTTTTCCACTCAGCTAAGTTGATTACGTCTTACATTCTTCCTATTGCTACTGCCACCTTAACCTAAACTTCATGTGTTCAATTTACATATTTGTCTCTATATAATGAGGATTGTTGGATCCAATCCCCTTTCTCCTGTTCAGTCTTTTTTCTCTTTCATTCCGTAACTTTGTATTTTGGGAGGATGCATTTCAGCAGGTGTTTGCTTGTTTGTTTTACGTTCACGTTACCCACATGACACACCGCATCTAGTTTTTCAGTGTCTAATTGTTCACTGATCACAGAGATGGTAATGACCTCTGACATTTTATATTTCACTGGCATTTGGGCTTTTGGAAAAACTTTCAAGAACATTAATATAAAATCACTGGAGTATTCCCAATAGTTCCCCTCAATCCAACCCCCTTGTCATTCTGCAGTTTGGTTGTGGGAACAAAACCCCTTTTTTATTTGTTTTTCCAGATTGATGGATTTCTGACACTTCTATTTGGCCTGGCTAGCATTAATACCCTTACAGTGATCAGTGTGACTCGCTACATAAAGGGCTGCCATCCAGACAGAGGTAAGGTCTTCAACAACACATCTGAAGGAATTAAAAATAGCGCTGGTCTGACTCTGCCTTCAGTTACCTTGGTGAAAATCAAGAGTAACTACCTTGAAGTCAATGGAGTAACACAGTGCCAAATGGATATGTGGGGAAATCAAGATCAGGCCCAATAACTGCTGCTGGAAATTTGCTTCCATCAAACATTTTTCAAATGAACCCAAATAAGAGCAGGATTATTCTTGGCACATTCGCTTCACTGTGAGTAGAATTCACCCCTGTGCAGAGGGCCAACACTAAGCTTATGTATCGCGTAAGTTCTTCAAAATAAAGTGTAAATGGCACTTCAGTGGTGCATATGTCCACTGTCCCTCTGCAAAGAGGTGAATTTCATCTTGTATGAAATGAAGTTTAGGACAGTTGCCAGCCATTAATAGACCTGACTTGGGACACTTCCCTCCACAAATGCATTTTTATTCTCAGTGGTGTTTTGCCTGCTCCAGGGTCTTTTGCCTGCTCGCAACAGGCACTGTGAATAGGGTTAGGTGTCACCTGGGACACTGAAATCTACTGCTCTTCCCTGAAACCTCTCCAACACCATCCAGTCTTGCATCTCAAACTGCTTCTCTGCCACTGTCTCTAGGATGCCCTACCACCATCTCAAACTCAATGGACCTGATTGTGATCAACCAATGTACTTTTTACACCATGTGAGGTCAGAATCAGGCCCACTGTTTTCAACACCGAACTTCTTTCTTCCTAAACCTTCCTCCCGACCCCTTGCCTAGCTCCATTGACATTGCCACTCTCCTTCCTGTCTCCTCGGCCTGTAATCTGCATGTCATTTTTGGCTTTTCTCTCTATTTCTCCCTTCTCCAGTTCTCTCACTGAGTCCTGTCATTTCTTCCTCTTCAATAGCTCAAAAAATCACCCTTTCCTCACAACCCCTGCCCCTAAAACCTTTCCCCAAGTGCTGGTTTCTTGTTTACTGTATACTTCTCTAACCTCTGTGCCCTCCAATCTATCCAAAATACCACTACCAAAGTTATCTCCCTCTCCCACTGCTCTACACCACTTTGAATACCTCCACCATTGGCTTCCTATCTCTTACTCTGTTCAATTCATACTCTTTGTTGTCACCTACCTACAAAGCCCTACATAACCATGCCACCATCTACATTTCTGCTCTTATTCCCACCTACACCCAATCTGCTTCTTGCCCTTTTCCCAATCGTCCCACTTAATAGATCATTGATGTCCTTCTCCCATTATTCATTTTGTATCTCCTATCCTGTCAGAAATCTCCCATCAAAAGCCCTTGCTCACCTACTTCAAATCCCTCTTTAAAACCCACTCCTTCCAGAAATTCTCCCTATCTTCTTCCAATCAATAGTTTCCCATGCTAGCTCACAACTCCAGTGTTGTCTTTTGTCTTCGTTTTGTGTGACTTATGCTGTAAGATTTGAGGCAGGGATCCTGTCTCAATCTCTGTATATAAAGAACAGTATAAATTTACTGTGTTATATAAATGATATTTCTAATTGCATAGGCAATAACAACCCTGATAAGGCAATATATATTCTGCAGGAAGTTCCACCTTTGCACCAGAACCAATGCACCTTGTCATTGATATATCTGTCAAGGCCCATTTTTAACTCAGTCTGTGCTGGGGCAGTCAGAATTAGGCTGGGTTGTGTTCCATATTTTGTATTTATTGTATCATATCTAGCCATATTTTAAATGTATGTCTCTCTCACCTAAGTTTCTACCAGAGAGCAAGGTCACAACCACCTCAGCCTAGATGCCTGGGCATCATAGCTAAGCCCCAGAAGGATCCTCAAACTAGGTGTTCCCCCACCTATCTTGCCTGTGGGGCCCAATTTGGTAGACATGCTCTGGACATACCTAGACCCACACAAAACAGCCAGAGGATGTGATCGTGCCCCCTTTGTAACTTTTAGCCCAATGGTGTTAGGGCCCTCACCCAGGATGTGGAGACCTGGGTTCAATTCCTCCCCCCCCGCCATCTAATATGGGGAAGGAACTTGAATTTTGGTTTCCCACCCATCTCAGGAGAGTACCCTAACCATTGGGCTATGGGCTATTCGGGGGTCTCTCTCAATCTCTCCTGTTGAAGCTGTTCCACTGTGTATAAACAAATAAATATGCATTGGAGCAGAGGGACTGGAACCTGGCTCGCTCACATCCCTGATGCGTGCCCTAACCTCTGAGAGTAATTCTCTCTCAGGTGCCCAGGAGAGATTGAGAAAAATCTGCCCCAGAATACCCAATGCCCAAGGAATTGATTTCTGTGGAAATGAGGAGTCTAAATCTCTTTGTGGATCTAGCCCAAGGTACCTGAGTTCCTTTGTGAATCTAGCCCTAAGTAACCGCAGGGAGTCTAGTGTCCTGGACAGCTCTCTGTGCTCTAAAGAAATCTTCCTCTTTCAGAGTTTTACCTCTTCAGCCAGTCACCACTGCTCCCATGAGACCCAAATTAATTGCATTGACGCAGGGAGCAGGGCTGCACACATTGTAGCCAAGCTTCCAAAACTTCTGCTGGTTAGAGGAGGGTACTTAAAAAGCCTGCTTTGAATACTTACACAACTGAAGATTAAACCTATGTATAAGCCAGATTCTCATTTACTCTAAGGCCCCTTATGCCACTCCAGCAGTGTAATGGGGTGTAAATGCAATTTACTCCCACTTTAAGGCCGTTTTACACTGCTGCATAGTGTAAAGGGCCTCTGTATAAATCAGAATTTGGCCCACGTGGCTTTTCCCATTCCTTTATTGCTGCTGCTGCCTGCAACATTATCAAGGGCCATTGGTGCAGCCAAGCCATAGCAGAAACTGCAGGTTCATTATCCCTGGAGTCAGACCAGATCAGGGAGCACTATGGAAACTGTGCTCAACTATCCCTGATAGGGGAGGGCATGGGAGAGCAAGGGAGGACACAGTGGAGCACTTGGGGGACTCAGGCTGAAAACATTTCCTGTATTTAATAAGTAGGATCATTCAGAACCCCTCCCATCCAATGACAGCATCAACAGCTTGGGAATCAAGGACAAAGAAGAGAAGAGAGTGGAATTCGTAAATTAAAACCATTAGAAATGTGAGTAACTAAAAGCCTTTTGCCTTTGACACACCTGAGGCTCATATTCTGTAGGAAAAATGGTAAGTATGAGGAAAGCAATAACTTTATTAAAATACATATCTGAGATATCTGTGCCAGAGTTAAATGTAAGGGTCATTCCAGAAGGCACTCGCAGTATTTGAGCGGGCTGGACTCTGGGCTAAATCCTATTACAAGTCACAACCAGACAACCCCAGAAAAATATATGTAGACAGTTGTCTACACCTATTGTCTGGAAAGCAGAAATTTCTTTCAAATGTAATAGGTTAAAATACTTTTCCTATGTGTTGCCTGGCACTGAAAGGTTTGCATGTGCAGACTGCAGCACATGGGCCTAATGATATTTGTGTAACTGATGGCACGTGGAATCTTAATGAAAAGTGAGGCGAGTACTTTGCTAATCTAGTCAGATAAAGGATATCTTTTTCTGTGGCCTTTATATCCCTTTAAAGAAGGCTGGAACTGGCACAACCACTGTATGATTAAGAGTAAGTTATTCTGGTTTCTCTGATCATGGATGAGATGAAAGCGTTCTGCTGGATGAATAAGGTAGTTTGAGTTTCTGATTTGTTTTCCTCTGGCTACCAGTGCGGGGGCAGAGTTAATGTTATTTGAATGCTATACTTGTGAATTTCCATTCTTTCCGTTGTTTTTCTTTTTTCATGTTAAATTAAACTTATAATTTCCTGTCTTTTTTTAAAGGTTTACAATACTGAAAAGTTCATATATGTTTCTTGTAGCTATAACACTGAATTTCCTAATTCTCGCATATCTAATTTATCTGTCACTTTTTAATCTAATCTAATTTCATCTAACTCCAATGTCCTTGCAAAATCTTGACCATTCAAGTCACTGATATATACTTTCAACCTTACCTTTCATTTAAAAACAATTTTTTAGTCTGGGAATTCTCTCAAGTACCAGGATTCCCCCAATTAGCCCTCCATGATCTTTACAGTAGTCCAATGTGAATAGATTTCATCTGGAAAGGGTCAGTGTGTTAAGCCATTTTCTCACTGTGTTGTATGTTCCAGGGCATTGCATTAGCAACAGCAGCATCACTGTGGCCCTGGTTCTCATCTGGATAGCAGCTTTCTTCTGGTCAGTGGCTCCAATACTTGGATGGGGCAGTTATACAGGTAAAAGGCCTCTCACACATTCCTACAGTGATACAACTGGTACATTTGCTCTTAATAGATCAAAGATGATTTCCCTCTTATCTTGCTGTTTATTGTTGAGCAGACTGATTATCAGTAGAGCTGGGAGTATAATTCATAAAGAATAATTTATCCAGGGAATGCTTGTGATTGTACTCTGGGTATACCTCAGATTGCAGTTTTGGGCGTGGTACTTTCTCTACATCTTCTACTAATCAGTGATATTACATTACATGGATGAAAGTACTGCTTATGTGCTATTTTGTCCAGATGTATACATCCTTTCCAATATTTCCCTATACAATCTACTTGTGGGATGAAATTCTGGTCCCACTGAAGTCAATAGGAGTTTTGCCATTGATTTCAATAGAGCCAGGATTTCACCTTTGGTTTGCAAGGTTCTTACTGAATGTATCCAGATAAGTGCATCAGAACTTTTTGATGTTAAATATGGATAAGACCAATGTCTTTTAGAGCTCAGGGTAAGTAATTAATTTTCTATCTCTGGTTCCTGTCTTCTGAAAGTTAATTCATCCCATTTAAACTTCATCAGCTATGGAGAATTAAGAGGAGTTATTTTTTATTAGATCTTGTCATTTGATGCTAATATGAGTTCCATTGCTGAATCATGCAGGTTTCACCTGTTTAACTTTTCCAGGGATTGTAAATACTTGACTGTGTAAACAGCTAAAACTTTGGTTCATGCTTTGCTTATTTGTGATGTATTTTATTGCAATGGTTGTCTGAGCAGTCAACCTACTTAATTTTTTAAAAACTGTTTAAAGTCTATAGAAAACCCTGCTGCTCATTTCATTTTGGGGAGTCCTTGAAACCTTCATCGCAACCTTTGTTCAAGTGGGAAATATTTAGGCATGCTCTATCGCTATGAGTCAAACTCAATATTTTGTTACTGGGACAGATTTACAAAGGGGTTTGGGTGCTTAAAAATGCAGATAAGTGCCTAGTGGGATATGCAAAAGCACCCATTAGATGTCTAATTCCCATTGACCTTCTGTTAAACGCCTAACTTACATAGGCACTTTTGAAATCCCACTAGGTGCCTACCTGCATCTTAAGGCACCTAAATCCCTTTGTAAATCTGGCCCATTATCTAAGCATCTGTAGCCCCTTTATAACTGAAAAAATTGTGTATGCTCTAGTTTGCAATTTATGTCTGATCTCAGTTTTTTTCAGGTGTGTTCCCATTATCTGTGCCATTTGCTGTACAGTAACTCCTGAAAAATGCGACTTTAAGCGAAACGACGTTAAGCTAATCCAATTTCCCCATAAGAATTAATGTAAATGAGGGGGTTAGGTTCCAGGGAAATTTTTTTCACCAGACAAAAGACTCTTTATTTATTTATAAAACACACACACACACACAGAGTATAAGTTTTAAACAAACAATTTAATATAATACTGGTACACAGTGATGATGATTGTGAAGCTTGGTTGAGGTGGAGGAGTCAGAGGGTGGGATATTTCCAGGGAATGCCTTACTGCTAAATGATGAACTAGCAATGGGCTGAGCCCTCAAGGGTTAACTCTCACACTCTTACTGTACAAGGCAGCAGGAAAGGAGGGAGGGCAGACAGAGACACACACCCTGTGTGTCTGTGTGTGTGTGAGAGAGAGAGAGAGATGCGCATTTCCCCTTTAAGTATGAAGAATGGAGTCAGAAGTACACTGCCTTGTTAGTTAGATCAGCAAGCTGAGACAGGACCACAGCTGCTGCTGCCTGGAAGCTCCCTCTGTCGTGTGTCCCCCCTGCTCTATGGAAGGAGGAGTAAGCGGGGTGCAGGAACAGGGGGGAGGGGGATACCCTCTCTTCCTCCCCCGCACACAGCAAGCAGGAGTCTCAGGGAGCAGCTCATGGCAGTGGGGGGAGGGACAGCTGCAATTGCTAGCCTGCTGGGCAGCTGCTGCACAGGGAACTTAGGGGAGCGGGGAGCTGATAGGGGGGCTGTCGGTCCACCTTGGTTCCAAGCCCCCACCAGCTAGCTGCAACGGGCTGCTCTTCCTGCAAGCAGTGGATAAAGCAGGCAGCTGCCAAACGACGTTAGAAGGGAGCATTGCACAACTTTAAACGAGCATGTTCCCAATTGATAGGGACGTAATCAACGTAACAACGAAACAACGTTAACCAGGACGACTTTAAGTGAGGAGTTACTGCATTTTGTATTCCTATTTCTTATTTTGTAATTTGTTAGTTAACGTGACTTTTTAATTACTTGTTGTATTATCTTTGATACAATAACTTATTATTATGCTATTTGGTACCGAGATCTTAGAAAAAGTTACTGTGTAGCAAGTAATAGCAAATGGAAGAACATAACTTACAATGGTATAAAACCTACAGAATTAATAACCATTTTTCTAAGAGTGGGAATTAAAATATCACACTTTACTGTCACCCCCAACAATGGTTTCTTCATGCTAGATAGGCAGTGGAAATCTAAATCAGAGGCAAGTAGCCTGTAATACATTTTGTTGCAATCCATGAGGTCTTAGAAAATTGTGTCTATAGAACATTATCTCATAATTCATTAAATCACCATGATCACTTGGTCCTTTGCTTTTTAAAAGAAGAAAACTTTATGTTTTAAATGGATAATTCAAATGCTTTAAGATTGATAAAGGGGAAATATGTTAAAAAGGAAAAAAGCTAACCAAATTGTTTTGTTTTCTAGATCGCATGTATGGCACATGTGAGATAGACTGGGCAAAAGCCAACTTCTCCACAATCTACAAGTCCTACATTGTGTCTATATTTATCTGCTGTTTCTTCCTACCTGTGATTGTCATGGTCTTCTCATACGTGTCCATCATCAATACTGTCAAGTCAAGCCATGCACTAACTGGAATGGGTGATCCAACAGATAGGCAGAGGCGAATGGAGCGAAATGTCACTCGGGTACGTCTGGGTGCTTGGTATATCTGTAGTATATAAGAAAATAATCTTCTGTGTTCTATAGAAACAGCATTAGAGTTCAATGAAGAAATTGAAGACTTATTATCAAATTGGATCACAAATGAACATTAAACCAGAACATGAAAAAAAATCATGCAGTCAGTCAAAAATATGGAGAAAATATAACTGAAGTACTTTATTTATGGATCACCAAAGATTGTATCCTCTTCTTTTTCTGAAGCGACAGTGCTGTGCAGAGAGAAACTTATGGTGGAATTCTCAAAAATGCTAATCACTGGCCTAACGCTGCTTCCTGTTCCATCAAAGTTAATAGGAGATTTAGTAAAAGCGGAGTGCTTTTAAAAATCCCACTATTAATTATTAAACCAGGGTATAATAAAAAACTGTTTCTTCCTACTCTTTTCTTCTGCTCGCCTTTCTTTTCCCTTTTGAGTCTTATCCTACATTTCCTTCATTTCTCCCCACCCTTCCAACCCCCACTCTCTGTCCTTCTACCATGTACAGGTCTATCTCGTCTTATGCGGGGGTTCCGTTCCGCGGTTAGCGCGTAAAGCGAAAACTGCGTATAGTCAAAATTCCATTGAGTTCAATGGCGGGCGGAATCGCCCGCACTACAGGTATAGTATTGAAATTGTTATTTTTCTCTTTTTTTTGTTTTTGTTTTTTTTGGTTTTTGCCAACCGCGTAAAGTTGAAATCGCGCATGTTGAATGCGCGTAAGATGCGACAGACCTGTATCTTTTTTCTTTCTTCTTCATGGTCCTCTTTCCAGTCTCCCTTCCTATTTCTTTTTCCTGCCCTTAGTTGACTGTTTTTATTTCATATTCCCTGCATCTTCATCCCAATTCTTTCAAAATATAAGTGGCAAACGAATCAAATGTAAATTATAGTTAGGCACCTAAATCTATATTTAAGGCCCCAAGTAAGTGGCCTGATTTTCAGATGTGCTGAATATCCACTACTCCATTGCACTCATTGGGAACACACACTGCCAAATGCTTCTAAGAACCAGGGCATTTATTTAGTGCCTAAGGTGTCAAACTTTTTAGGTATTATGTTTGAAAATATTGGCTTAGAGCAGTGGTGGGCAACAGGCGGCAGCCGCTGGCCGCCACTTCCCGCAGCTCCCATTGGCCAGGAATGGCGAACCACGGCCACTGGGAGCTGCGGGCAGCCGTGCAAATGTAAACAAACTGTCTGGCAGCCTGCCAGTGGATTACCCTAATGGGTCGCAGGTTGCCCACCACTGGCCTAGAGCCTGATTTTCAGATGAGACGATCACCCATCACTCCTACTGATGTCGCAACTGGGGTTGTGAGATTCTCAGCACCCCTGAAAACCAGGGGTCTACATAGGATTTTAGCTATTTTTATCTCAGTAAATATTTAGAGTGGACCCAATTCTATATCTTTGATTTATTTTTGAGAAATACCCATCTGAGCTGTCCAAACAAAGCCAGACAACATATATGAATAAGAACCAAAGAGCAAAAGTAGCAAAATCTGGCCCATAGTGTGTCCTAATGCAGGGGTGCTGGAACTAGCAGAACTGGGGGTGCAGCAGCAACCCCTGACCTGAAGTGGTTTCCATCATATACAATAACATATGACAATGAAGACGTACACTCAATTCCTCATCTAAAACAGACAATCGCTACATTTTCCATATAAGAAATGTGCTAGATTCTGTACAAACATATAGTAACAGACAGTCCCTGCCTCAAATTGCTCACCATCTAAGATGAAGTGTGGGAGGGAAAATACAGGCACAGAGAGGTGAAATGACTTGCCCAAGGTCATACAGCAGGTCAGTGGTACAGCTGGGAATACAAGCCAGGTGTTTCTTAGCCATCAAACCACACTGCATCTCTTTGCTTCTTTAGTGTAATCCAATGTACTGTATTGTCTTAAGAAAATAAAAGATGTTTTCATTCTCTTTCCTAGGTTTCTATTGTCATTTGCACAGCCTTTATTATAGCATGGTCTCCATATGCTGTCATCTCAATCTGGTCTGCCTGTGGCTACTCTGTGCCCAATCTAACCAGTATCTTTGCCAGTCTGTTTGCCAAGTCTGCCAGCTTCTACAACCCCATTATCTACTTTGGAATGAGCTCCAAATTCCGAAGGGACATTTTCATCTTGCTGCATTGTGCTAAGGAGACTAAGGACCCCGTGAAGCTCAAACGCTTCAAAAACCTCAAGCAGAAGCAGGAGCCTTCTCCTTCTCAGAGAGAAGAGAAATATGCAGCGGCGGTCCAGCCTGCACCCAGTCCTGATTCTGGGGTAGGGAGTCCAACCAACACTCCACCTCCCAAAAACAGGGAAGTGTATTTTGGTACCTTTGATTCTGCATCTACCAACCCTGATATTGAATGTGATAGACTGTAAGGCTGCAATTACCATGTGCACCCACTATACGTACAACTAGAACAGATTCAGCTCACCACTTCTGAACAGCTCCCTAGTTCCCATTCCATCTGTCTTTTACTCTAGAACTAATGATGACTCCAGTACGACTTAAAGCAAATCAGGATGTGCTAAGCAGCTATAATTCTTATTATATATGGGTTATAAACTGCAGTGCAGCAAATTACAATGGTGGGCATCAAATCTAGTGCCAGAGGGAATTTTTCCTTCTCTGGATCTTAGGGTGATCAGATAGCAACTGAGAAAAAATGGGACAGAGCGTGGGGGGTAATAGGCGCCTATATAAGAAAAAGTCCCCCAAAATGGGACTGTCCCTTTAAAAAGAGGACATCTGGTCACCCTACTGGATCTACAGTACAGCATTTGAAGGACTTTATTTAGAAAATTTATCGGTTAGCCAAAATCACTAATATTTTCATATCCAAATTATATTAATTAGGTGATTTCATTTCCCAAAGCACATTTTCCCAGCCTTTTCTACCCTTTAACAGTCCCGGGTTTATCCCATTCCTCTGGCTCCACAATGCTGCCGTTAGTCAAAGGCCAAAAGGGAAGTCTGCATCTGCTAAGATCACTATAATGCTGCTCCATGATCAGCCACTAGAGGGTGTGCAAAAACCACATGCTCTCTGCAGGAGACTAACACTGTCACCTCCATGATACTCTCTGGCTACTCAAACTAGAGGGGTGAGTGGGGGGAGATGGGTGTAGAAATAAGAGTCCTGAAGTCTAGCTAGAATTGAGTGCAGTAGCAGCCATGTCACTGGGCTAGTTGGCAAGCTCTTTGTGCACAGGCAATGAATAGCAAGATGCTGTTCTCACAAGAGTACCAATAAAGTATGGTTTGAAAATTATTTAAAAAACAAACCCAAAACCCAGCCTTTATTGACTCTTCTCAGGGCAGTCCATATATCTGTCCAGGGATACAAAGCTCCCAACTACTAGCTAGAAATAGCTACTCTATAAAATAGTAGGACAAGGCAGTGATTTAAATAGCAAAGCTGCGGGGTTCAACCAGTAAAAAGGCTTTATTTTTCATGCTATTGGCAGACTCTGCCTATTCTGTCAGGTTTGTTTTGGAAAATGAAAACAAAGAGAGAGATGTCTATTTTCCTCCTCCTTGGGGGCTATTCTTGTTCACAGGCTTCCACCCAAAAAATGTATTGGCATGTTTACAGTAAACACGTTCCCTTTGAAACATTGTATCTGCATGTATTCATTGGCATTTGTATCTTCCAACATTAAACAAGATAAATAATTAATGGTTTGCAAACCTCATTACTAGTTATGAATCTCTGACATCTGAGTGTCCAAGTACATAAACATTGTATTTGTTTTGCAGAAGTATGCTTATCCATGTGTGTTTCTTGGGAAAGTTATCAAAAAAAAGATCCACCTTAATTTCCTCCATTTAGTATATTTGGTTTGAGATTTTCATCTGATTTGAACTTAAACACAAATACACTTTATAAGCAATGGCAGTGAACTATGATTTCTTTCATGGCCATAGAGCTGAACTGAAAGTATTCATTTTCGTGGAAAAATTTTGAGAATTTGGCTTTTTTCTATTTCATTATCATAAATAATTAAAAGCAAATAGGTCAGCTGCTTGTGTCTGAGTGAAGCTGCATTCCACAATTACAGGAGTGAATCAAACCCACAACAGATTTCGGGCAAAATCTTATCCTGACTGGATGGCCTGAAGCAGGGGTGACAGTGGGGTGAGTAGCAGGGTGCAAACCCTTGCGTCTAGCACAAGAACCATGCTGCTGGCTCAGTGTGTGCAGGTGCTATGCACTATTGAGTACACTTTGCTTCTCCTTTGATGTGAGGCACCATGCGGCCCCAGCTGACGCACATTGCTATCTCAAGTGTACATGTTAGCTATTCAGCTGATGGGCTGGTCACGTCTCATCACCAGCCACCCACCTAACCTGGCTCCCCCCTAGTGCTTTGTTGTTTGTAAGGGAAACACACTGCCCCCTGCACACAGGAAGATGAAAAAGGGGGTGAGTAGGTTCCCTATGCCTTTCTCCCAATACACTCACTGCAGGAGTTGGCCCTTAGGATAAACAGAATTGCTATGGCAATTCACATCAGAAGTGACACTCCAAAGGATAGTCTTGCATAGTTAAGACCCACTTCCATGGACATCTTCCAACTCTGCAAGAGTGTAAGCTAGAATTCAGTCAACTGTAATGTACGCTACTTTTGACCACTTTAATAGATACACAATCACATATGCACAAACAAATGGTGGAATTAGATGATGGCAGGGATGGGTAGTGGTGGAAAGGAGGACACCAGAAAAGGAGTGGAGAAAAGGAAGAAGTGAGTGAGGAAAGCAGGAGGGAGAAGGAGCAGAAGCAGAATGCAGGCATATCTGCTGATGGAGGAGAAGGTGCATTCAATTCTCCCAAAAGCTTGGGCAAGCAGCAACGGTACTTCATCTTGCAAGGACTGTGTGCAGTAGTAAGCTATGGTCCTTCATCAATACACAGTAATGCCACAGAACCCTGGCTCTCATTAAAAGAGCACCCACAAGGCGGTCTATCTGGCTGTGCAGGTTAGGCAGAGGGATACCACTGCAGACACCAAACATATGGTACAAGCTCAGCAGCAGCAAGTGCAGCAAAAACAGGGGCATGTTTGTCACTAAGTGTTGCTCAAATAAATAGACACCATATCCAGAAACCTTGAACAGAAGCAGTTTTGTGATTGCACGCAGATACCAGTGTGTGACACAATGTGTGTGGGGGGAGAGTCTAAAATGTGTAACATCACTTCAGTGCACATAAAGTGATTTGTTTCATGACTTAAAGTATGAAATAATTGCAATCATGGAGGGTTTTTAAAATGTATCTCCAACTGCCAGAGATAGGGAGGACTCTGAGTTACTACAGTGAATTCTTTCCCAGGTGTCTGGTAGGTGGATCTTACCCACATGCTCGGGGTCTAACTGATTGCCAGATTTGCAGACAGGAAGGAATTTTTCCCCAGGTCAAATTGGCAGAGACCCTAGAGGTTTTTCATCTTCTTCTGCAGCGAGGGACACAAGTCACCTGCTAGTTTGAACTAGAGTAAATGGTGGAGTCTCTGTAATTTGAAATCTTTAAATCATGATTTGAGGACTTTGGTGATGTAGGCAGAGGTTAGGGGTCTCTTACAGGAGTGGGTGGGTGAGGTTCTGTGTCCTGCGATGTGCAGATCAGAGTAGATGAGCACAATGGTCCCTTCTGGCCTTAAAGTCAATGAGTCTTTGAGACTCCTGATTTTTGTTCTATTTTTCTTCCCTTTCCTTTAATTTTTTTCCCTAAAAAAAATGATGATCTTAAGACAGTGGACTGTGAGGAGAGTCCAGTTCAGTCATGGCTTTGCCACAGACTTCCTCCGAGATGTTGGGTAAGTCACATCAGTCAGAATTTTCAGCGGTAGTCACTGATTCTGTGTTCCTCATTTTCTGGCAACATGACTGGATTTATTTTCACAACTGCCATGTGAGAGGGGGAAATATTATCCTCCTTTCACATATGGGGAATTGAGGCACAAAGGGCCGGTTTTCACAGGGCCGCCCGGGGGCGGGGAGGGGGGCAAGTGGGGCAATTTGCCCCGGGCCCCATAGGGGCCCCCAAGAGAATATAGTATTCTATAGTATTGCAACTTTTTTTTTTATTTGAGGGGCCCCCGAAATTGCTTTGCCCCAGGCCCCATGAATCCTCTGGGCAGCCCTGGGTTTTCAAAGCTATTTAGGTGCCTAATGGTGCAGCTGTGCACATAGGCTCAGATCCTCAAAGCTATTTAGGCACCCATCTGCATCTCTAGGTGCTTAAGTACCTTCCAAAATCTGGCCCAAAGAGAATAAGACCAAAATTTGCAAAAGTGTCCACTGTTTTAGGGTGCCCAGCCTGAAAATTTGAGGGTCTGATTTTCAGAAGTGCTGAACACTTCCAGTTCCAGTTGAAATCAATGGGCTCTGAAAATTCAGGCCTTTGGTCTCTCAAGTTAGGCACCTAAAATTTGTGTACACTTCTGCAAATGTTGGGCTATTATCTCTGATCTTAATTCTTCATTTGTGAAAAGGGGATGCTATGTCCATACCTCACAGGAGACTTGTGCAGATAAATTCATTGGTGTATGTGATAAGGCCGCAAAGAGATTTTTTTGGGACCTGGAGCAAAATTTGAAACTGAGGCCCCCTACACTTCCAAAAAAATTACCAATGAGGGCAGGCCCAGGGGCGAGATGGGGTTGGAGAATAAGCCTGCCATTCATTCACCCCACAGCCGTGGCTCTTGTCCACTGGGGCTGGGCTCCCCACTCCAGGTATTGACACATGGTACATGGTGTTACAGAACCACTCAGATTTGCACCAGGTCACAATGCCACTCACTCAAATTTGCCTGGCCATTCCTCCTTCATGCCAGAGGGGCAGGTGGGCCCAACCCGAGTGGTGCTGAGACCCCAAGTTGCAATGCCCCTCTGAGGGAGCCCTTGGTCAAACTGCCCCTCCTCCCCCTTCTAGGAAGCTCTGGTCTGTGAGGTGCAGATATATCGTGAAAGCACCATAAAAAAATTCCATGAGGAAATTAATAATTCTTCACCTTGCCATATCCAAACTCAGGGCTCAGTACAGAAGGCAGGGCCCATACATTGAATTATGAAGAGAAAGAGAACTACTGAACAGCTGCCTGATTCCCAGAGCACTGTCCATCCTGTGCACTGATTCAGGAAGGGGTCCTGTCGGAAAAATAGTTTCCATCCTGTATTTGAATACTGTATCATAATGCATGGGCACGAGGGGGCAGAATTAAAGTTGCATGGGTGCTGTAAGATACTGGCTCTGTCTGTGCCAACTTTTGATAATACCCAATTATTTCTCCCTTGGCTTGCAGTGCTCCTGGCTAGAATATAGCATCTGAACTTCAAATTCCTATGCTAGCATTCTGTGCCCCAAACTTCTT